TACTTTATTTTTTCGAATTAAGTATTATTTTTCGGGACTACCAGTAAATCAGTTATAAGATGTATTCACCGAATTTCGTTCAAGGTGATGAAGGACTGGTAGAAGTAGAATTTTCGCACATATGATATTGGTAGAGCTGACGTTTCCATTGAATTTCGCATAGTCTTGATTTCCCAAAAGTTATTCTCATCAAGGGTGGACGGCAGTTTGGACCTCGCCTCGGTCTTATCAACATTCACAGCGGAAATCGAACCATGACAGTGCAGCATGTGAGCTTGACACGTTAACCACTAAGCCACATTGCCACAAATGCCCTTGGGTCACAGGGCACATCACATATTACTGATTTATTAGTAGTCCTTAAACTCTGTTTATATACGAAAAATAAGTAACGTAGTCGATTGTTATAGCAAAAATACGTTTGCTTGATCGACAATCCCACCAAAGAATGTGATATTGAAAGAGCCTGGCCTTTATGAAATTCACATATGTTCTGTGACCCAAGTGCATTCGTGGCAATGTGGCAGAGTGGTTAACGTGTCAAGCTCACATTCTGCACTGTCATGGTTCGACTCACGCTGGGGGTATTGATAAGGCCGAGACAAGGTCGAAACTACAGTCCACCTTGGTTGATAACGACTTTTTGGAAATCGAGGCTATGTGAAATTCAATGGAAAAGTTAGCGCTACTTTTATCATTGTGGGAAGTTTCTGCTACCAGTCCTTCATCATCTTAAACGAAATATGGTGAATACATATCATATAACGAATTTACTGGTAGTCTACGAAAAATAGTATAGTTCCTTCTGGTTCACCTTGACTAGTGACACTTTACTGTCGTAAACCTAGACTGAGCAGGACACTTATGTCGCAAGACGGACTGTGAAAGATAGCTGGCCTGGCATACGCTTTTAGTCGTGAGCAGCTCTTATAGAAAGCAATACGAATTTTTCCGCTACACAAAATGAAAGTACCCTTTCCTTTCTGATTCTCAATTAGCCATGCTTACACGAATGTGGTGCTAAGCCACTAAGCTGGTGCCGGGCATTCCGTTTGCCCTCCCCTCCATGAAGCCTCTAACTGTGTCTGTCCCGTTGGCCAACAGCTCGCAATACATTGGGGCGCATGCTGAATATGCCTATATGCACTAAGAACAGACATTATGCTCTGATTTTATGCTTATATGCTCCATTTTTGCCGCTTTTAGACGACCAAACTGGGCGCCGTACTCTCTGACCTTAGTCCAGGCACTTGGCTACAGTTCCGCCTGGTGGCTGTCTCTTCGGCGGGGCCGGGCGGCTGGGGTCCCCCCAGTCGACCTATGCGTGTGCTGACTCCCCCACAACTGCCATCCCCGCCGCGCAATCTGACCGAAGGAACTTCTCGCATTTACGACAACCGTGTAGATGTATCAGTTAACTGGGTGGCTCCTCTACACAGCAATATGCCCTTAAAGAAGTATCAGGTGAGGAAGACCGTCTTGTTGAATAGGTACTATCATTTCACAAATCCCTCAGGACGCCACTGGCCTAGTTAACATTTGAAACTTGTATAATGACAAAGCGTGGCGCCATTGACATGTAATTCTCTGCTTCTGAATCATAAAGTCACTGTATGATGTAGTAACAATATCTCATTAGAGCTTCATGCGTAAAATGAATATAAATTTGTCCCTATTAGCATCCTTAAAATAAATTACCGCTTTGCACTAAAGTTATCAACACCTTCAACATAACCATAATATTTCTCTTTCTGGAGCATTTATCAAAGCCTCCGTCTACTTAAACTTGACCTATATTATGCAAGATTTGTCATATTTTATCACCCAACTTCGCTAGATGTATGAGAAGGCGACGGTTCATTTATGCGGAGTGCATTGTGAGACTACACACTAAAAGCCCAGCTTTCATTGAATTTGTTTATGCAAAAGTGCAGGCACAATGCATGTCATTTAAAAGAAATAGGCTATTTAATCTAACCACAACATGAAATTCATATATGCGTTTTATTGAGCCACCACCTTAAGTGTTACTCTCTCTGACCCATAATTCTCCGGGCCCGATGAATTCTTGTTGGGTTTTCATTTTTATGCGATCTGCTCATTTAGTTTATAGGCTTTTACTTTTTATACATAGGATGCAAAATCAACCATTTCAAACCCCGCATAGTCGGTAATTTAGTGGTTCCAATCTACAAATCACTTATAAATGAATTTTTTCACGTCATGAGGGGCAAAGGGGCGTTAATATATTAAGGGATGCCTTATCATATTTTGACGTTGAATTTTGAGTTATGATATATGTTAAATAGCCATGCTTATATAGTCATAGGTCATAAACATGCAATTTGGCTCGATACTGTTGTAAACTTCTATGTGTTCGACTCCGGATAAAGAAGAAGTAAGCAAGCTATTTATTCTAAATATTTTCTTCCATATTACATTTGGTATTTGTTAGACCCAACTACCTGTTTATTTATTCCAGTAACTTATTGGTCTGAAAATGGATCTTGGCTGACCGCCTCGTTGATCCTGTTTCTGTGTACTGAGCCTATAGAAGTTGATTGATAGCCGCAATGATAACACCATCTTCAAATGGCAAGCTATAAGTAGTTCCTACTCAACTATCTACCATCGTTCCTCACGCTAAACTTATTTTCTAGGCTATTAATTTCAATAGCCTTTCTTATTTTTTTTTAACCACAGACGTACCATAATCAACAAACCCACTAGTTTAAGACCATCATATTTCATGACCAGTTTCTACTATGTTTTTTGCCACTCCTGACATTTGAACCCAGCTATCTTTACAAGCATTTTTGTGTTATCCAAATCTGTGTCCAATTGCTCGGCATTTTTCACCAA